CGCCTTAGCCTTGGCCGGGCTCTTGACGGCCCGCTTGGGCTTGGCCGCCTTGGCCTTCTTGGGGCTCTTGGCCGCGCTCTTCTTGGTCGCGGCGGCCGCCGGCTTCTTGGCTTTCTTGGGGCTCTTCTTCACGGCCGCCGCCTTCTTGGGTTTCTTGGCCGCGCTGGCGGGCTTCTTGGCCGCCGCCTTCTTGGGCTTGGTCGCTGCCACCGCTTTCTTCTTGGGCGCTTTCTCTTTGGCCTCACCCGGCTTCTTGCCCAGCTTGAAGGAGCCCGAGGCGCCCGTGCCCTTGGTCTGTACCAAGATGCCCTTGTTCACCAAGCTTCGGAGCCCCAGCTTGATACGGCTGTTGTTTTTCTCCACATCGTAACCGCCGGCTGCCAGCACCTTCTTCAGGGCAGCTAGAGACACTCCTTTCCTCTCCTTAGAAGCCGCTACAGCCTGGGTGATCAGCTCAGTCACGCTAGGGCCCGCAGGCTTCTTCGCTTTGGCGCCTCCCGCTGCCTTCTTCGCTTTCTTCGCAGGAGCTTTGGCAGCGGGAGCTGGAGCCGCGGCGGCAGGGGCTGCAGCAGGCACAGTTTCCGACATTGTCAGGGACGTTCCGCAGGCGAAATACACTGACACGCGCTGTGGTAGGTGCCTTGAATTTATACACGAGAGCTGCTCTCTGATTGGTTCGTTGTAGAGTCCGCCCCGCTGCCAGGCAGAGAGAGCTCTTCTCCCTGTTTTGTTTGTGTTTCTTCGGGATTAAAAAAGTGTGTTTTTGGCACAATATCGGCCGGAAATCGCCCCTATTCTACCATCAAGTAAAGACAGGAAAGTATATTTTCAGTTTCCAGTGCTCCTTGCCGAAAATAATAAAACTGCACGAAATAAAAGCCAATAAATCCGGCGTCGTGGAACTGGAAGGACCTCGGCAGAGAGAAAGTTTTGTTTTTCTTTGTAAATTAAAACTGTTCTTTTGTCAATAAAGCCCGGAGGAGAACACAGAGGGAATTTTTAGAGGGTCTGCTCCACGTCGGAAAAGAAAGTGGGTGAATTGCATGTACAGGCTCCTTAAAAACCGATTTCAAACAGGGAGAGGTAGCACACTCTCGGAGACTAGACCTCAGCTTTCTTAGCCAAGGTTTGTACTTCTGGACTACCAGGAACTAGAATTGAATCATTAGTGGATCTTTAAAAACCACCGAGAATAAAGTTCTGAGAGGGGCTGTCTACCATGCAGAGACTGTTGTGGAGCATTAACTAACACATATGCTAATCTGGATACAATCTTTAGGTTATTAATATCCATAACTTGCAAAAGACTGGGTATGGTAGCTCAGGAACCTATAGCATGGTTAAAGCACAATTGCTAAGCATCATTTAATTGTAACCTTAAAATAAATTTAAAATGTTTGGTTTTTTTAAAAAAGATAAAGCTCTAGGAAAACAACAGGGATTATTGGTTCTGAAAAATAACTGGAGAAATTTAGCCATTCATCTCAAAATTATGACCAGAAGTAAATGTGTAAGTAGGAGTAGGAATTCTGTAGGGTGGTTGTTAGTACATATTATTAAGAGGGAGCCGTGGGTTCTGGTTCTTTGCTCGCTGGAGTGAATGCAAATAATATGAAAGCATTATTATTACACTTTTATGGATGCTAACTCAGGAAGTAACAATGCTTGTTTGTGGATAATACAATGTTGCTAGGTCACCAATCAGCGCATAGGAATGTTTCTGTATGTAAAGTGTTTGTCAAGTTTAGAGAGTTGCAGATAGTGTGGATTTGTACTCAAATGAATTGATAAGCGGTTTTTTTTGTCCATAGTGGTAGATCTCAAAACATTTTTCAAAGGAGGTGACCTCCGTTTTCTAGGGGCAGGGTTTAGAGTCTAAGAGAGGTTTGCAGGCAGACAAGGTTCTTTGGGTAAATGTGGTATCTTTTATTAGACCAACTAAATAGTTAGAAAAATTGTTCTTTGCAAGAGTTTGAGTACAAACACTCTTCTTCAGGCACAGGGAGAGTTTGTTGTTGCTTTGTGTGCTCTTCTGGGTGGAATGGAAGCCAGTATGCAAAATGCAGGTCTGTGAAAATGCAAATGCATAGAAGTGAGGCTCAAAGGCTGTGTGAGACAATAGGTATGAGACAGGTAGCAGGGCAGGGAAAGTGGGAATTTGAAGTGGAGACAGAATATAGCTGGTTAAATGCAGGCACGTTACCTGGGGTTATCAACTGGCAGGCAGGTTATAATGTGCCATAAATCCAATGTCTATATTTAGTCCATGATGTTTTTGTATCCAGTAGATCAGTGGTCTCCAAAGTGGGGTGCATGCACCCCAGGGGGTACGCAAGACTATCCATTGGGGTGCGGGAAGAAAATATTAGAACTTCTATTTATATTTATTTTTTATCTAAAAAAATAAGAAAGAAATTAAGCTTTACTAATATTTAATACACGGATTGACACTGGCGCCCTCACTCATTTGTTCATTATATCAGACGGTCACGTGTCACGTATGGTACGCGAGGTATGCTGTGGGAAGAGTGGGAGTTCCACAATGTGGAGGGGTTGACAGCGGCACCCTCACTCATTTGTTCGCTTTCAGCGTATTGTGACATATACTCGGGGGGTGTGTTCAAAAATTTTTTACTGATAGGGGTGCGCGATCAAAACAGTTTGGAGACCCCTGCAGTAAATTTATGAAGTGAAGTTTGTAGGCTCATCTACGAAAGGTGTTTTGTAAATTCCCTTTCAGGATTAGAACGGAGAGACTAGGGAAAGAGTGACTGTCTTGTGAGAAGTGTGCTCTTACAGGTAGTTGGGTATTTTTGTCTTTGACAGACTTCCGGTGTGCGTTCATTCTGGAATGCAATTGTTGTTTGGTTTCTCCCAGATATTTTCCATTTGGGCAATTGATAAGATATATTACATTTCTGGAGGTACAGGTGTAGGATCCAGGAATGGTGATGGTTCTATTGTGGGATGTAGTTATTGTGGGGGACGGGTGGTGGAGATGTGTTGGCAGATTTTACATTTCTTGTCATAGCATGGTCTGGATCCATTCAGTGTGCTTTGGGCCATAGGAAGTTGTTTCTGGTGATGAGGTGGCATGGTTTAGTGCTTCTTTAAAGAGTAGGGTGGGCTGTTCTGGAAAGATCTCTTTTAGAATTGGATCTCTTCTTCCACTATGGATTGCAACTGTTTTTCCATATAGGTTCCAGGGAAGGATGGTATGTCATAACTAATGGTGTGCAATTCGTGGGGATTTTCTTTTTCTGCAGAAGCAATTCTTCACATGGTATCCTGGTGGCTCTTTGAAAAGTACAATTTATATCTCTGGAGGACTGTCCTTGGTGGGTGAAATCTCTTTTGAGATTTGTGAGGTGATGGTCAAGGGCATTCTTCTCAGTACAACTTTGGTGGTATTGAAGGACTTGGCTGTATATTACAGCTTTCTTGGTGTGTTTAGGGTGATTGCTGATTCTGCATAAATATGTATGTTGGTCCATGGGTTTCTTGTATATTGTGGTTTGTATTTTACTATTCTGGATATTAATCATACTGTCTACAAAGGAAATGTTGATGCTGGAGTATTCAAGAAAGAGTCTAATGGAAGGGTGATGCCATGATGGTTACTGAATTTGTGATGGAAATCAATCAGAGACTGTAGGTTTTCAGTCCAAATGATGAAGTCGTTATCTACAGAAGGGAAGTGATTCTTTTGCTCTGTTCAGCACTGGTGAGGCCTCAACTGGAGTAGTGTATCCAGTTTTGGGCACCACACTTCAAGAAAGATGTGGAGCCCAACAGATAGCTATTAGCTATTAGAAAATTAGAAAGAGCAACACAAATGATTAGAGGCCTAGGAAATATGACATATATAAAGGCTGGAAGGACTGGAATTATTTAGACTAGAGAAAAGAAGACTGAAGGAAGATTTGATAACAAGCCTTCAAATTCCTGAAGGATGGTTTTAAAGGGGATGGTGATAAACTATTTTCCATGTTCACATGGGACAGGACAAGGAACAATGTGTACTCTGATATGTGCTCCAGGGGTGGTGGACAGTTCTTTAATTATAGAGGCTCCAAGAGCCGCTCTCATTAAAGTGCTGCCGTGTTTCCTGTCACAGCATCCCTGCACTTAAAAATGGCAGTGGGGGCTCTTGAACGAAAGCTCATTGGACAAGCTTTAGTTTAAGCAGCCCCACCACCATTTTTAAACATGGGGAAGTTGATACATGAGACACGGGACGCAGCTGGAGTGCACAATTGCCACACTCCAGCAGACCTGACGCGCTGGAATTCCAGCACATTGGAGCAGCCTCTGTGCTTACGTATAGGCTCCCAATGGTATTAAACTGCAACAAGGGAAAATTCGGTGGGATATTATAAAGAGCTTTCTTACTATGAAGCTGGCCAAGCATTGAAGCAAACCTCCTAGAGGTTATAGAATCTCCATCCTTGAACATTTTCAAGAGCAGGATATATAAAGATTTCTCTAGAACGGTTTGGACAGGGATGTTTCTGTCTTGAGCAGGGGGTTAGCTTAGATGACTTCCTAAGGTCCCTTCCAACCGTACTTTTTGATTCTGTGCCTGTCCAGACAAGGGCCAACCTGAGGCAAATGTCCCTGTACCTTAACCTACACTTTCCCTTTCCTTACAAGGGGCACTCCCATACAGGTCTCTAATCCTGGAAGTCAACTGAAGTGGCCAAATTTGCCCTCTTGCACAGTAGTTTTGATCCTTGCAGTCAAGTGGGGATGCTGAGTGTAATGCTACACTCTTTAGGTCACTGACTGGTTTTCAACCTTTTCTTGATTTGCAGACCCCTAACGAATTCCAAATGGAAGTGAAGACCCCTTTGGAAATTTCAAATGGAGGTACATGCCCCTTTGAAGTGGCCGGGCCCTTTTACTATGGGTATGGGCGATGAGCTTCCCAGCAAGGAAGTTCACCAAAGTGTAGAGAATTAGAAGAAGCCAGCCCACCTGGGCCAGGAGGGGGAAATAAAAAGCATCTGCAGCAACCTCAAGGTGGCTGCTGCACTGTGAGCACAGCTGTAAAGGTTGTGTCGCTGAGCCTGGGACAAGCAGAGGTAAAGTTGATCTGGGAGATGCTGTGACGACGACTTTTCTTCTGTTTGTTCATGTTGTTTACATGGAAGCTGTGCATGCTTCCTCAAAGACCTCTGAGGGATAAGAGGTAACTGGGAAAGTGTGAAGCCCAGGAAGCCAGATGAGACAGAAACTCCTGGAGCAAGCAGGTATTGCTCAGAAAAGCTAAGTAGCATTTCAATTTGTTGAACTTTATTTTGCTTTGCATGTCTTAAAAGCAGAGGGTGACCCTGTGGAGTTTTAGCTTTAGCTCAGCTGAAGCTAAGGCAGGGACTCTGAATAATGGGTCCTTAGCTAAAGCCAACAGTGGGAGTAAAAGTGGTCAGCTCTGGGTGCCCAACCAAGCACGCTTAGCTCTGCTCTGCCCTGCCCATAAGCTATCCACAGCTATGTACAGTATTCGCATACTTTTGACTGATCATAGTATTTTTTTGTGAACACCTTAGACAGTCTGCAGATCCCCAGGGAACTGTGGACCACCAGTTGAAAACCACTT